CCACAGTCAACATTCGGAATGCGTCCGCGCACTTAATTTTGTTTTTCACACAAAATTTGATACAGATTCTTTGATCCATTTTTTGGAATAGGCAAAAATCGAAGACGAGCCAAAACACGTGCAAGCAAAGCAGCTGTCAAAAATTAACTGAACATTCAAAATGGCCGAACTTGTCGGCATAAGTGAGAGACATGAGTACCAACATAACGCCACAAAAAATCGAAAATCGAATATACGTAACCCGCGGAAATTCAAAATTTGCGATACTTTTTGAACAGACCTCATATGTATACACATATAACATACGTACGCATTCATACATATGCACGTAAACATAGGGTATAACAATAGCAGAACGAGTATTATTGTCTTGATATTTTTGTATTAGAATTTTTGACTCAAAATTCAAATATACATTATTAAAAAGTAATCCGATATTTGCAGGACATCTTGTATATTATTTACATATTATTTACACTTTGTGCAGTGTTAAAAAAACTATTCAGCATTTATATAGTAAATATAGAGTACATACTATTAAACAGAAAATGTGTTTAACATACCATTAGTTAGTTAATCGGCGATTAGAAATTAACGTACTATATTATTTGATTGTGATTACACAATTATGATTTCCGATGAAATCTTCTGTTACAAAGTATTTATGGAAATTAGATGAAGACAAAACGCGGTTTATAAATCACTAAATTAAACCTCGCATGCGAAACGTAGAAGTCAGTAAGTCAGTCACAATACTAATATGTTTAGAACACTGAAATGGCTTTTAATCTATATTTATTAAAATTTTTTTACTCAATATAATATGTATTTTATCATAAAAATACTGAATAGTTTTTTAAATACCTTGTATACGTGCGTGCGTGCGTGCGTGCGTGCGTGTGCACATATATGACGAATTGAATTAGACTTCTTAAGGCTTCTGACTAGTCGCGGCGGACATGTTAGAATCGTGAAGAAGCGAGGAATGGCACGTTAATTTATGCTGCAAATCATTTGTAAATAAAGACAATTTGAATAAATCTAAATGACGAGATTACTTTAAAATATCTGTAAAAACGGGCAGAAACTTTTTTCTCTTTTAATAGTCAGAAAATAGTTTTAAAAGGCAGGTAAAGCCTAATCTGGGGCAGAAACACGGTTTCAACAGCTGTTGAAATGAATGAAATATACGCTTTTACAAAATTCCAGGGTAATTATACTTTCTGCCCATTTTTAGGACTTTCATAAGTACGAGATACGTCACATTTTCACAATTAAGCAAATAATAACGAAATGACTTGCAGCATAAATTTGATCGTTAAATTGTCACTTTTTCACGCCTATAAGTTTAGCCATTTATCGTGATGAGGCGCTGTAACACACACACAAGCGCCTATGTATGGAGATGTCCTCGCTTTCGGCGCGCCGACATAGGCTCGTGCTTGTGTGTGTGACTACTGATTTCGCCACATTTCGCTAGGCCGCCGATGATTTGAATCGCATGCTGACTAGTCAGGGCCTTAAGTCTGATTGTTTAATTTGCTTACTATTTCATTGCTTACGTTATA